ATCTTAATGCTTTTATCTGGTTAAATAAAATAAAAACCTGTCCCCGCCGGTTGGTGCATACCAACCGGCGGGGACAGGTTTTTATTTTATTTAACCAGATAAAAGCATTAAGATAAAATCTCATTTTCAATGCTGACCTGGCCAAGAAGGCAGCAACGTTACACATAACACAAACATAAAAAATACAGAGAACATAACTAAGACGAAAAAGCAGTCACTACATTGTGCACATTAGGGCAGTAAGAAAGGTACACTACTTATTACTGCAAGAGCAGCTGGTGGTAAGGACGTCAGACAACTTCAATTTAAAACATGCTATTGAGACAAGTGCCATCAGTTTGAGGCTTGATTGAAGGTCATTCCAAGACCAAGGACCATAATAAAAAAGACTCCTTTTTCCAGCCTCAGTCCGCACAGCAGGTACCTGGAAACGTATCCAGGCACTGGATATGAGGTTGTAAGAGTCACAAACTGGGGCAAATCTGGCACATATGTACAGTGGAAGCTTACCTAAAATGGCTTTATACATTAATAAAAACCAATGCTGCATCCTACGCATAGTAAGTGAGGACCATCCAGTTAGGCTATGCAGTTTGCAATGATGAGTCCTATATGGTGCATTTGATATATAACGCAGTGCAGCCTGGTAGAGTGGGTCAAGTTTGGCCAAAACAGTGGGACAGGCAAATCTATAAATGGTATCACCGTAGTCCAGCTGGGACAGGAATAAGCCAGAGACCAACTTTTTACGGGATGAAATTGAAAAACAACATTAAAGTCTGAAAAGGAAGCCAAGAGTGAATTTCAATGTCTTTGTTCGAACTTCAATATGGTGTTTGAAGTTCAGATTACTGTCCAACCAAAAGCCCAGATATTTGTAGTTATCGACAAACTCAACAGAGACGCCATCAAGGGTGTCAATGGAGAGGCAAGAGGACGCTGACTTGGGAGCAAAAAGCATTGCTTTGGTTTTCTTACTGTTCAATAGCAGTTTGGAATCAAGAAGTGCATGCGGCAGCGTGATAAAATCAGATTTTGAATTGGACACGGCCATATCCAGAGAAGGGGCACATGAATATACAATAGTGTGCATTATTTTAAGACTGTGGGCGGCAGTGGCTCGGTCTGTAGGGACTTGGTCTTGGAACCGTAGGGTCACCTCCCGATCGGGGAAAAAAAGGTGCCCTGAGCAAGGCACCTAACTGCTTCCTTGGCGCCGGGCACCTGGCAGCCTCTCTGCTCTGCCACCTCTCCTATCTGCATGTGGTTGCGTGTGTGCATGTATATCCTCCCCTGTGTGTGTAATGTGTGTAAACACAAGTGAGGAAAGAAATGTCCCTGTAAGGGATTAATAAAGTATATCTTCTACTTCTTCTTCTTTATTCTTATATAATCGAAAATGGTATATAAGAAGCAGAACTAGTCCTGTGATGCCAGTAAATGGTTAATGGATTACGGATTTGGAGCTTTCAGTTTTGTACATTGGCTGTTTCCATTTTGTTTTTTTAAGTATAACCAAACAGGACATTTTAGTGCTACCAAAATGCTGCAATTATTTTTACTGTACTGTAGAAGTCTTCATCTTTAGGAGAGAAACACAGACAACACCACAACGGGACACTGTGGTAGCCAGCTGTCAATCATAAGGTAGCCCCGCCTAAGAGAATGTCATGCTGTATTGAAGACTTGAAACACGATAATGTTGACTAAGGTAATAAATGAAGTTATAAGTAGGTTCATTTTCTCATAGACTTCTATACAATCACACTTCCTTTCGCAACTGGTGGGTCTGCTGGCCATTTGAAAGAAAGCATGTTCTGCACTGGCTTTACTTACTGTATATAACAGGAAATTCATGCTTGTGTATATGTAATGGAGAATAATTCAAACTAGCTAATGTTTACCGAGGTAATAAATCAAGTGAGAAGTAGGATCCTTTTCTCGCAGACGGCAACAAGTAGTTGCCCCAGCTGGCCGTTAGGAAGAAAGCAGGTTTGAGGCCCCTCCGCAATGGCTTCACTTTATATAACCAAAGATTGCTGCTTGCTTAAAACAGCGGAACATCATGTGGAAACTATGTTCACATTGAAGGAAGCGCCTGCAGTTTTGCAGGTCTGCAAGTATGGAAGGTCTGCTTTTACGAGTGTGTGTGTGTGTGTGTGTGTGTGTGTGTGTGTGTGTGTGTGTGTGTGTGTGTGTGTGTGTGTGTGTGTGAGCGATATGTCCTCTGGGCTCTGTCATTAGTCATGAGGATCTCATAGAACGAGACAGAACAACGGACCCCCTGCAAAAACAACTTGTGCTTTTCATTACTTCATTCAACAGCACACATACACAGAACCATCCGCTGGGACTGACATGGATCAGCAAGATTGGAAAGATAATAGCAGAACAATTACTAAGTGGTCTAATTTGTTTAGGGTCACAGACAGGATGTGATGTCAGAGCTGTGGTGGGGGTTGGATAGAGAGGAGTATTGCAAACATATTATGCCTTGTTGGGATACAGCTGGAGGCAGGGACATTGATGTTACGTGAGAGAGAGAGTTTTAATTTCTCTGAGCTCTTCTATTAATGTCTGCCCTCTCTCCCTAAAGTCCTCAATCATCTCTAGTACCCGGGTGTTTGATGAATGGTTATTTTTGTTTGACTTCTTTTAAAGAGAGTGGAAACAGAACACTGACCTTAGGTGGTTTTATTCTTCGTTTGGAACGTAAAGAACAGGACACAGTAGCAGAGACTCAAAAGAAGTTCCAAAGTAAACTAAAGCCTTAGACAGATAAATCAGCAGTTTTGTTTAGAAAATTAGGGGAAAGTACTTGGAGTATGATTTGAAAACAGTTTTCTTTGGAAGTAAAAGCAGTGGCAGATAAGAATGTGTGTAGTTCGACAAATCACTGCCCATCACTTTAAAATGTAGGAACTGACCTGAAATAGTTTCAGATATAAATCAGGTTTACGTGCTACACTGAGCTAAAACCATTGGGAATATACTAAAGGGAAAGTGTCCTTCGCTCTATGCTAGGAGATGCAGCATATTGAGGTTACATCTTCATTTGGTGTTTGGAAATAGCGGCCAAATATAGAAGCAGGTGGATATACAAGTTAACACGGTGCGATTGGAGGACTTCCCATCGTGGCCACAGAATGGAGTTTGATCAAGTTACCAAAATCCCAACAATGACAAAAGACACACTCGGCTTGTCTCAAAAGTTCCAGCCACTAATGCAGGGGCAAGAAGATCAATCAGAATTTATACTGGTAGAAACATAGGAAGGAGATGTTAGATCTTTTGCCACTTAAACTTACAAAGAATTAGGAGAGTTATCATATCTTGCAATGATCAGGTATGGCATTATTATTGCCAGTAAAATGACTTTCTGTCATAGTCTGGTGGCTAAAAGTTAAGCATATAACAGTTCCTTTAAGACTAGGATTAATTGTATTAATCCCTGAAGGGAAAATTGGATTGAAACCATAAATAAAGACCCAAAATACACATTAACAAAGACAATATAATACTTTTATAATACTTTTCTGGAACACCTCCCTAGGGAGGTGTTCCAGAAAAGCTGCTACCCCCGCGACCCGACCACGGATAAGCGGGAGAAGATGGATGGATGGATGAGCTTGGAAAGGTTGTATTACTGATTCTTTGAATGGAGCCTGGTGGCTTTGATAAGAGAATATTAATTGCATGTTTTGTGCATAAATAACTTTGTCCAGATCTCATTTATATATTTATGACTGTGTCCACCTGGGTGTCATGTTTCCATTAATGTTCATTGAGCTGGAGCTAATAAATACCTTTGACCATTGTATATACTTTTCTGGAAATGACTGTCTTTTAACCTTTATTATTGAAGAGAGAAACCAATGTGAGTGGGTGTTGGCGAGCTAATTTTGTCCAGGGAAAAAAGGGTCTCAAGTAAAAACAATCGAATGGTTTTATGTCAAGAAAATGTACGTGAGCATTCTTGTGTTACTTCAGTGAATTGCTTCCTCATTATCATCTTGCATAAAGAACTTCAAACTGAGTAATTCACTCAAAAGTACGTAGTGTACTGTATGTGTGTACAAGTATGCCTATTGTGAACATAACCGGCATCTTTTGGGGACTTTTATTGCCGTTTGGGTTTTAATGCTATCTATAAACACAAGATGTTATTCTTAACCGACATGTATTTGTCTGAGGAGAACATTGGTGGAGGAAAGATGGATTACATAGTACATAATGAATAATGATGTCTACACTTAGTCCTCTTTCTGGTTCATGATCTCATTTCTGTAATCTTTCGTGAATTGTGACCTATTTTGAAAATGCACTTGTGCTCCACAGGACTCTGAAACCACTAACAGCAGCTCTGTCTGTGTCCTGCTGGGTATTGCTTCATGGTGTGGTCGCTGTGTTTGGGTGGCTGATGTGGGAGGTCAGACAACCGGGATCTGGTTCCGTGGGAAATTTGAGAATGTTTTAACAAGGGTCGGAATGGAGTTAGGGGAATTGTGAAAGAGCTGGTCAATTAATTGGATCCATATTAAGATAAGGCCGTCTGGGGAGCTGTTGGAAGGCTGCAATGCTTTTAAAGAGGGAGTTCGGGCTGACAAAAGATAAGACCAATGAACCTCCCCACTGCAAAAACTAAATCTCGACAAGACATTTACTTTATTTGGTTGCAAAGTCTTGGTGTGCAAATGATATCTTGAGAAAGAGAAGCCCACACAAGAACCTAATCTAGGGCAATATTGCTTGATTAGAGAAAATAGCTTAAGAGTTCATAGTTCATGTTTCCATAATAGCTTTAAGACTGATGGAAAAGTTGCACCCACTTGTTAGCCCAACAAAAAAACAACATCGCTGCTTAATCAGCTTAAGAAAACAAAAAGAAAGCTTCCGAGTATGGCTTAAGTGTAAGTCAAATGAAAGCTATAATGGGATCAGGGGAGTGTGAAAAGCCATAGCAAGGGGCTGCATGTGTGTGGATTAAAGAGGAGGACCACCTCACCTCTCCACTGTGCCGGCAGCCGCCTCCAGCTGGGTCAGCAGGAAGGGATAGAGAGCGGGAAAACGAGTGAAGAACTCCCGGCCCGTCATCCTGAAGGGAAATATACATTTGTTAAACAGTAATAATAGAAGAGCCATAATATGTATACTTTCAAAAACAAGAATTCTCACCACTAAAGTCCAGAAGCTCTGTTTTTAAGGCTTGTAGAACTCCCACTATAGTAGATGTTGTAAGGTGAAATATAATATATTAAGGATATTTACTGACATCTTGATGTACAGAACAATCCCACAACAACAAAAAAATCAGAAATGTATTCAGAAACACTTACACCAACAAAGTGAGGATAAAGCAACTAGTTATCTCCGAATAACAAATGATAGAAAAAAAAAACTTAATAAAGAACTGTTTTGTATGGATGTCTTCTGAAACCTTCAACAGAATAGGAACATCTAACGTGAGGAGTGGGATTGGTATCTCGTTTGGTACACGAGTAGCCAACAGTTGGTTTTTTGTTGTTGGAAGTGCCCGGCCAGTTGTATTAGGGCTAAAAAATGTAGGCAGGAGCTTGGCAATGGAGTGCCTCACTATGTAAGAGATTACATAGTGAGGCATGTTCAGCTCAATACTGAACTGTATTGGCCTCCAATGCAGCAAGTTTAAAGAAAATAAATAATGTTTACTAGTCAAACATGGGACAGGGCAGTTTGGCTAAGACGAGTGAAAAGGGGCCTAGCAGGAGTCAAGATGGGACAAACTCTTAACATCATATCATAATAATTATTCATCCTGATTTTTGCATATTTTCCCGGTTGAAAAAAAACAGGGGTGAAAATTGATACTGACAAGATAGATGGAGTCAGGTTTGAAATGGGGAGCAGGAGGGCATATATCGTGGAAAATGTAATTTGTAGTGTTTTCATGTTTTTTATTGCACTTCTTTAAATTTGACTTCCTTATTTATTTTATGTTTTTACTTTATTGTATGTTGCACTGTTGGAGGAGAATGGGATTTAAGATTTTCATTAACTATTATATTGTAGATATTTTGCATATGACAATAAAGTCATATATATTGTAATTAAAGCACAGGCATAGTATTTGAACACAGCCGGAAGTCCACTGTATAAAAAAGCAACACTTCTCTGCAGCTTCAATTGCCATCATGAATCAGGAGCACTGGTGGTTGATCCAACTTCAATTACAGTTAATTCAATGACCTCATTAGTTGTGATTGAATTGATATGTGTCGAATACTCTCTGTCCAAAAAAGTGACATAAGGAGAAGCAGCAGAGAGGGGGGGGGTGCCAAAAACTCTACCTAAACACATCCAGCCTTTATGTTTGCTTACCCTGAAATACAGCCAGAAATAAACTCTGTGTGTATGTACACATACTACGCTGTGTGTTACCGTCACATGTGCTTATGTATGTATTCTCTCACACAACTGTAGATAAAATGACAAACTTTATATTTAACGCTGGCGGTCTCACTGCGGCAACCGCCATTCAGCCTCAGGGCCAATAAAATGTTTTTATTTAACTCTGCGCGTCTAAATCCAGCCGTTGCTAAAGGGAAGAGCTCTGGTCTGCTGAGCACATGATCTCAGGCCGGGAGCGTACACACACACACACACACACACACACACACACACACACACACACACACACACACACACACACACACACACACACACACACACACACACACACACACACACACACACACACACACACACACACACACACACACACAGTATACATCACTTCAGAGGACATTACATTGACTTACATGCATTTCATGGAGACTTATCCTAACCTTAAACATAACCAACACATGCCTAACCCTAACCCTAAACCTAACCAATTCTTCACCCTAAAATGAATGATTCCCCTTATGGGGACCTCCATTTTGTCCCCATAAGGGAGGTGAGTCCCCACACGTGACTGTGTAAACAAATTTAGGTCCCCACAAGTACAGTAATGCTAGCACACACACACACACACACACACACACACACA